CCCCACACACACACCTCGTTTCTCATTTTCCCGAGCCCACCCCTCCTCCCGGGTACATGGATTTCTTCACGCGGTTTACTCATCATTGTTTCCGCGTGGGTCGATCAAGAAGGGTTTCATAAATATTTCACATTGGGCTCACAGTTACTTATGAGTAATGATGTGGTAAAATCTCTATTGATTTGAACTGGTTAGGCTTCACCTTCATGCAAAATCCTCAATTCTTCCAGTTCACCATACACTCAGAAGCACTAGACTCGAGTTTCGTTCTTACGAGAGCATATCCACTGTCTCTCCCCTCCGGGCTTTGAACTCCGGACTCATCGCATGGAAGGCGTATGTGTTACCACTGTGCCTAAAAGCTCATACCAGGGCTGTACCGAATTGCCAACTCATGTTTGTTCTGGTATTATCTTCAGATGCAGTTACTCGGCTCATTGTTAACCCAACAGGAACGAAAAGAGACAGTTTACTGCTTATTAACTTCAATCGAAAGCCTCTCGCCAAAGCAGAAAATCGTGTTAGCCATTTTAAATCATGTCATTATCATTTGCAAAGCTTATCTGCCATTGACACTCATCTCGACGTTTTGGGTAAGAGAGAATTGTCACAATCATGAAAGCTCTTTGCATGCTAAGCAGTAATAATTAGTTACCAAAGCCAGCTCTATGGTCCGCGGTACCATACTTCGTCGATTGTCTGCCGCACATAAACGGTGCACGCATAATAACCAGGTTGGTTTTAGGCCTGGTTGAGGTTGTATAGACGATATCTTCAGTCTTCATCAAATTCCAGAACACAGATACTCCTTTCGTAAACCCATCATTTCTATCTTGTTCGCAAAGCAGTTTTTGACTCAGGCAACCACTCCAAACTCTGATGCTGCCTTTCTCTCTCTCTCAGAGAGATATTCCCTAGAAGTTAATTTCTATTGTGCGATCTGTTTGTATTATCAGCTAAAGCCGAGTCCGAGCTTACTGCACTTTTTCGCCTGAGTTCACTACGGAAAGTGGTGTTTGTTAGGGTTGCCCTCTCTCTATGTCCTTTTTCTATATAACTTTATCATAAATTTCATTCTGGAAACAGCCCTATCTTCGTGCGATGATAGTGGCATCGATGTGCTCACGGGTGGCAGACTGTTTGATCTGGAGTATGCAGACGACATTGTGCTACTAAATGAAGATCCAGGTAGGTTACAAGTTTTTCTGGGTAGTTTGAGTGCTAATGTAACCATGTTCGGTATGCGTTTTGCACGAGGCTTGAATCTCAGACACAGGGACCGCAAGCACACCGGTGACGATTTAAACCGCTTGACAAACGGTTCGGTACCCCTGTATCCCCTGACAAAGACAGATAAACCTGTTTTGAATTTAAGGTCCTTTCTGCTCAAGCAAATACCCTCTTTCAAGTCTAGTCAAAGCATATATATATATATATATAAAAAGAGAGAGAGAGAGAGAGATACAGGTGTTGACCAAACTCGTGCAACATCCTGTTTTTTACCACATTTGTTCCGCTCAATGCTTCGTTTTTTCCAGCCTCACGGCATTGAATGTGATATTGCCCCACATCAGACGCACTTTATCTATAGTTATTTCCAAGTCTCTTGGTATCTAGAATGTTTGGCGTTGGCCCACAATGAACTTAAGCACTACATTCTTTATCATACTGATTTTCGTACTGTGGTTTGTTTAACGCAACGTTTGGGTCTAAACTTGAAAGTAATTCTTCGAATGTGGCTTGTGATGATACCATGAAACCTCATGTTTATTTTTTCTCCGACCATATCCTTCACCTGTCCCGGTTAACTAATTGTTTGAAGCATACTCATTTGTTCTCATTTTCCCCCGTCTTTTATCGTTTCTGCTAGTTTCACAAAAAACCTATCACTTCCGTGGAGTGGCACCCAAGTGACTCAGGTGTATTTGTGGCCACCTCGGAAGATGATCAGGTGACCCTCTGGGATACCACTTTGGAACAGGCCGACGTTCCCGAGGATGAATCGACCAACGACCAGGCGACTCAAAACTTGCCCGTACAACTGTTGTTCATTCACAGCGGACAGACAGAGGTGAAGGAAGCCCATTGGCATTCGCAGATTCCCGGACTTTTGTTTGCCACATCCCTGAACGGATTTAACGTCTTTCGTACATGTAATGTATAAAGTCCAACCTGTCCTTTCCCTTCCCGTCAATCGGTTCCCATCTTGTTGGGAACTCAGTTATCAACCGCTAAATCGTAGACACCTATTAAAGTCTGGCGAGGTTGTGGTTGTACAGAAATTAGACAAATCCTGTCGTCATCATCCTTCAACGCGTCCCTCTCCCTCTACAACGGGGGGAATTACAAAATCCGTTAACCTTTTTCTCGGTTCTCCTCTCCATTCTGACTATTTGGTTTTTCACTATCAGCTGCTTCCAAATCAGTTGTGTATGCCAGTATATCCACTACAGTTAACTCACATCAGACCGGCTAGTTTTCGATGTAGCCTCACATCCCGGATGATCACGACCCACTACATTGTGGCTTCCAGGCTGGTGTCAGTTTCCACCGGATAAAACCACCATACCACTGTGCTCTCTCTCATGAGAACTACGAGAACCCAGATTGCCAACTCCATCTGTCTTCCGGTTGCCGATTTCCTGGTTTGATGAGCTGTACTAGGGGTAGAGTTCATCAGAACGGGTACCCTGTGCTCAGCTAAGGGAACAGGCTACATCTTCACGATGGTACACTGAAGTGGACTCCGCCGATTTCTGCTAGTTTCAAACCACATACAAATGAAGCGAGAATGTGCAGAGTAGACAAGGGCTGAGTCTGTTTTGGGGCAGGGAGAAAGTGAGCGTTCATCATTAACATTCACGGGCTAACTGTACACACGCACACACACATCTATTCAAGTATTCTTGCTTGATGAGAAACGACAACAGGAGCTCCATTGTGTCGGTTCATTGTTATGGCTTTCAGTTACGGACCCCGGTCTGGAAGGTGAGAGAAAAGCACTATTCATGCCTTGCCTCGTCCGTTAACCTTCACATGATTTTCTACAGCTCGGAGCGAAAACTTTGAACAAGGTGCAGTGTGATGGATAACAGGGAGCCATGCACAGTACATGTCCCCACCAGCGAGATCTATTCATTCAAATTAAATATGATCGAGAAATTTTCATCTCTAAATTTCAAAACACACGGCCGCTTATCTCAAACTGGCCAACCCTCTCGTTCCACCTCACTGGTAGTCGAAAACCTCTAATCGACGGATGTCTGTTAATCGCACACACAAAAGGACTGAAAATAATAAATCAGAACAGATAGTACTATGACAATATACGGACGTTTCAATTTCGGGGTAACACCATGTTGTATTTCATTCCTGCGTACGCTGCTTGTGTCTTCGAAAAACCGGTAATGGCCTCCTTTATGATGCTCTACTCTCCTTATAGTCACGCTACTAACCAGGTAAGAAAACCAATCAGCTTCAGCCAATTCCTGACTTCAGTTTCAGTTTGAACAACCATTAACCACGCATATTCCAGCGCCGGTTTTGGTTGCTGTTTTTTGACTCCCCATTGGGATGAAGAATAGGAGAAGAAAGGAAAGTTGAAAGTGGATTCGAAAAGAAAATGAAGAAGTTCAGTGGTCTAAGGTTGCAAAGAAATTGAGGACATGCACGAACGCC